GTCCTTCAGTCCAACTATTGGCATGAAAACGGAGTGGGAAAAATGCTTAGTGTGTAGGTGCGCATATGCACAGAGGGGATAGGTGTCCGTGTTCGTGCAGGTTGATGGTGTACGTGTTTGAGTGAGGAATTGTTTCTATTTCCCTTTTATTTTATTTTATTTTTTTTTTGTAATTCTTCCCCTGTGACGTGAATTGTGATGCGGGCATGTGGGTGAGCGGAAATGAACTGCAGGCGGAAAGCGGAGAGCGAACTCTTCAGTGGGGGGCAGACGTGGCATTGAGCTGTGGCAACGAAGGCTGGCGCGAAGGGGGAGTGGGACGTTGGATAGAAGTGCGTGGGCACTGTTGTCGCCGCTCCCACCACCCCCTTCCCCCCCGCACCCCAGCGAAAAGTTGTCCTTCAGTGTTTTGTTTGTTTCGGCTGATGTGGGGGCGAGGGTGTGTTGTGGCCTGCGTGGTTTCTTTGCAGGCTCCGTTGTCCGCAGCCCACTACCTTTCCTCTCCCACACTCCCCCACCCCCTCCGCGCGCGCACACACACATACATCGTCTCTTGGCTGTACGCCTCGCCTTTTTTTTCTGTTTCCCGCCCCCCAAACTCACACGTGTCTGCTCATTAACCTTATTGAATAACCCTGCGAAGGGTGTGGGAAAACACGCGGACAGGAGCATCTGCACCGGACCACACCACCGACATGATGCGTCTATTTTGATTATTTGTCTAGTTTTTTTTTTTTACGTATTGTGTTCCCCCTTCCCGCCGCTGCCCGCCTAACCCCCAAGTCTCTGATTTCCGCGCAGCCGGCAGCCGGCAACGACCCCTCCGGCTTCGTCACCCAACAGACGATGGGGCCAAGCGACACCGGTAAATACGCGCCGGACACTCCGGTAGCGGTGGGAGGGAGGCGCGTGCGTGTGGGAAGGTGAGGGGAAATACCAACTCCTCTGCACACTGTGCCGCTGTGAATCTGCGCGGGGGGTGTTTGGGGCGATGTGGGCGTGAGTGGAGAAAGAAGAGTAAGCGAAGGTGGTGGAAAACTCACCACCTCTGGAAGAAACGCGGGGGCGGGGGGAGAGAGAGAGGGAAAGCAAAGTGGTGTGTGTGTGTGTGTGTTTTGCATGAAAGAGAAAAATTCGGGTGAAGTACTAACAGAAGGAAGGAAGAGATCTTTTTTATTTCATTTTTTTTTGCTTGCAAGCAGACGAAAAAAATAAAAATAAAAATAAAAAATAAACGGTGGAAAATAACTCCACAGAGAATAAAGGTAAAAGTAAGAATTGGGAAGGAGGAGACAGCTAACGCGCGGTGCAACAGAGCGAAAACGATAGCTGAATTTTGCCAAAAAAAATACCGCTATAGAAGTGTCTCTTTGCGTGGGCCGTTTTACCGTTGGAGTTTTCCCGTTTCATAACCTGTAGGAGCAACAACAACGCACGCACTACAACCACCTTCCGTGTTTCCCGTTCTCGCTTCTGCACTTCAGCTCACGGAATGAAAAGTTTTTCTCTTTCTACTTGTTTGTTTATATATATATATATATGTATATATATTGGATGTGTGGGTGTGTGCACGTGCATGTGTGATGTGCATCTACTCACTCTGTCTGCTGGAAGAGATCGATAAAGAGACACACAAGCACGATAAAAGGTGATAGTTCCTTCGACATCCTAAACCCGGTTTTTATTTGTTTGACTGGTCATTGTTGAACTTGGGAGGACGCATTTAGACCCCTTTACGGCGAGACATCTGATGGTGTTCGCATGGATTATCGCCCTCGTTGGGCTTATTCTTTCCTGGCTTTGGCAATTGCGGCTGCGCTCAAAGTACGTTCACAGGCCCTACAGTGTACTGCGGAGGCCGGTTCAGGATCTACAGTTCGACTTCGTTGTTGTTGGTGCTGGCCCAGGTGGTCTTGCCGCTGCTCAATGTCTCATTGAGCGTGAAAAAGACGGCTCGGTGCTTCTCATTGAGCGCGGCGTTGATCCGTCCCCCACGGGCCCCCTCGCTGCCCTCACAGGTGTCGCACACATGGAGAAGCTGCTGTCCTATGCCGTGGAGATTGTGGGGTCAAAGCTGGACAGCGGATGGTACGTGAGCTGCCCGCTGCATCACGCGATGGGCGAGGGCGATGAGGACGTCTCCCCCGCCGCACCGTATCCGAGAGGATGTGCAGTGGGGGGTACTTCCGTCATGGATTGGGCCCTCTACTTTTCACCGCTTCCCGTAAATATTGGATTGAGGCCTGTGGAAGAGGTTATTGTTCCTCATACTTTTTCGGTCAGGCGAAATCCGTTGTCGTGGGCGTTTGCAGAGTCTTGTGGCGCGGTGTTGAAAAAGAAATACCTTTCCACCCTCTCAGCACCGTCTGCACGCAACAGCGTCTTCCCGGGATTACTGCGTCTTGACGAGGACGGGTGTCGCCTTCCGCTTTCACACTATTTGTTGCAAAAGCAATCCTCCAGATTCTCTGTTTTGGCGGGCTGTGAGGTTACGGGCTTCTCGTTGGATGACGCGGGCACCGCCACAAGTGTTCACTGCCGGCTGCCGGATTCACGCACCTTTAAGGTGGCCGTTCGCAGAGGTGTCATTTTGTCCGCCGGCGTCGTGGGGACAGCACGGATTATTAGGCAAGTTTTTCCGAAGCTACAGGAGCGCTTTACGGTTCGTGATTCCATCGCGTTGCCACTAATTTTTCGCGCACGTCCTGGGCTCTCGGACGATCGTCTTAATCTCCGTTCCTTCAAGTCACACATGACGTGGTGGATAGCGCGGCGAGGACCTTTTCTTCACGCCGTGTGCGACACGCTGGCGGCTGTGGATGTGCCTTCGCTTGGTCCCTGCGCGGAACTCGTCGTCTTCTTCTTGCCGATTGGGGGTCGCGACCGCACAATTTATAGTCACTTGGGCCTGGATCGCACACTTGGCGCCTTCGCAGAGGGATTCATGCTCTTGATGGCTCTGCGCGGTGTGGATGACGTCTGCTTTGACCTCTTACCGGACGCTGTAGGGGGCGCGACGCAGACAGGGAAGGCATCCTCCCCTTGGTGTAGCAGAGTTATTTCCGCCCCTGCTCCTGCCCTGCCCCCCGCACTGCTGACCAAGGTGACCGCGGCCTTCATGGATGGCATGCAGCTCTGTCGAAGAATTGTGTCTGAGCCGCCACTCGCGCGGTTCTCCACCGGGCGGGAGGCCGTCGACGCGACGCTAACAACGGACCCCACACGTGCCGTTCAATATGTGCGGCTGACGCGAACCCCACCGTCGAAGCTCACAAAACAACAACGCAGCTCGGCACCGGCGTTGGTAGCGTGGGCCGCGGAATATGCAAGGACGCCTGCGTACATGGAGGCATACATTCGTCGACATGCGCGCTGGTTGGGTTTCGGAAGTGGCTCCTGTGCGGCATCACTCGCGCGTGTAGATGAAAGTTTTCGCTTGTCGGGAACTCAAAATGTGTTTATTGGCGACTGCTCAGCAGTGACGGAGATGTTGTGGAGGGCCGGCGGCTGTGACACACTACGGGCTGGTTCTGTCTCCACCGCCATGGCTCTAGGCAAGGCAGCGGCAACTGAGTTGTTGTCGCGTTAGCACGGATTCTTTTTCCCGTGACGCACACATGCGCCAATGGGGCTCTGTGGTTGGAATTATTTTTTTTGTTTTTTTTTTTTAGAGAAACATCAATCCATCAATGAATCAATTTTTCCTTCCCTTCTCCCTACTTACTGCTGTTGTGTTTCGCTTGACGTCTCCGGCCCCCATGCGTGCATGGGTGTCGCAGGAGGTGTCCTTTGTCGCCACTGACGCCCCCCGTCATGGTTCGCTTGAATGCTCGCCTTCAAAGTGCTTTCCGCCTTTGCTGTTGTTGTTGTGGGTTTATGATGCGAAGGAGTTGCATCTGCCGGAGGCCTCCCAAGCACCACGTCCTCCTTCCCTCCTCCCCCTTTCTGTTGGAGCCAATACGCCTGGAGCGGCGCTGAGACACTGCTGCAGAAAAAGGGAGGCTGTGAGGGGGGTGGGGGTGGGGGGGTCAACATTCTGCAACGATGCCGTTGGAGGGATGCGAAGGTCGGGATTCCACGAAAATGCGTGACCGCGAGATCGTCGAGGAGTTGCGGAGGTTCTCTGATGTCCTTAGCTGCGCCGTGCGGGGCACCGCGAACACGGACGTCTGGGAGGAGCGGCTGGAGGCGCTGCGACAGCTTTCCAAACTTGCCCGCGGCGACATCTCCAAGACTCGCGGATTTCTTTCGCTGATGGGCATGTGCGTGAAAGTTCCGTTGCAACGCCACCTTGAGGAGGTGCGGACTGTGTTGAGCACTGAGGCATGTGCCGTGGTGGTTGCGTTCGCGGAACATTCAAGCAACCGCGCTGCCTGGCGAGCTGCGAGTGAGTGGTTTATTCCCTCCTTGCTGCAGCTGACGACGCGCACCAACCGTGTCTTGCTGTTGTCCGCGGTAGAGACTTTAGAGACGCTCGCAAGGACGAATAGTTTTGGGCCCGCGGCTTTCGCGGAACTTCTTCGCGGCTGTACTGCCCGTCACGCGGCAACGCGGCGGAACGCCCTTGCTGTGCTCCAGATCGTCATGCAGCAAGGCCAGAACGACGACGACGATGTTCCGCTTTCAAAGTCTATTGATGCCATTTGCAGGGTGCTGCGGGTTGCATTGGCAGACGCTGATGCCGAGACACGACGACGTGCCCGATTGTGTTTCTGGACCTTTCACGCAAGCGAGCCAGAGGCGGCGGAGCGGCTCTACAAGGGGATGGAAAACCCGGTGAAGCGGTCACTGGCCCGCAAAATGAGCCCGCGCAGGGCAAAGAAGAAGGGCGGTGCGGTCGTCGAGAGCACACCGGTTGCCGTCGCACAAACAACGAATGCAGCAGACGGAGGTGCGGAGGCCGCGAAGAGGTCGCCGTTGCCGCCGCAGACTTCTCCCGCTGCAACCAGGCGGCACGGCGGCCCCGCTCTGACGACGCCGGATGCGGGAAAGGCGGTGACGGAAGACGTGGCAGAGAGTTGGGCGTTAGTGCACGATGCGCTGCGAAGCACGTTGTGGTCTGAGCGCCTCTTGGGCCTCCGACGCCTCTCAGAGGGCTTTCCCCGCTTCCGGCAAAAAGCGGAGTGCGTGAGGCTGCTGATTCCGCGCCTAAACGACCCCAACTCTCGCGTGGCGCAAATGGCACTTGAGGCGTTGCAGGTGGTGATGCGTGGCTTTCCCGCCCTACTGAAGGAGGCTCTGCCGGAGGTGGTGACCGCGCTGCTTGTCAACGTGAGTGGGAACAAGAAGGCGTTGTTGACCGCCTCGCGGGAGCATCTTGCCAGCATCATCCAGTTGAGTGCCGTGGATGACGTGGCGCGCGCTATTTACCGCACACTTGGCGACGTGGTAGGCCCGAGGGTGAAGGTGCACGCCGTGGAATACGCTCAGTACCTCTATGAGCAACATGCGGCCCACTTTGAACAGTCCTCGCCAATGACTCTGGCCATGACGCATCTGTTGCAGTGCCTAAGCAGCGATAAGAAGGGCGGTGATGTATACAGGGCTGTCATTTCGGCTCTCGCTGCGCTGTATGCCTCGACGGAGGCAAATTTTCTACGAACGCTGCTTCAGTTCTCACCAAGCGAGCGCGATGCCCTTGTTGAGGCGTTAGAGCCCGCTGTTCCGCACCTCGCACAGGAGTGCCGGCGTCGCGTGATGGGCGAGAGGCCGCTGCAGCACGCCCCTCTGCACATTCGCTCTCCGTTTGCAGAGAAACTTAGACACGCCAGTGACACGACCCCAAACACTGGTTCAGGGAATGCGCGACGGCGGGCGGCGCGACGCGCCCCTTCTGCTTCTCCTCCTGCCAAAAAGGAGGTGGATGACAGACAGTCCCGTGGCATTACACCTGTCAAGGAGCAGACGAATGGTGGGTTGGATCCAACGCAAGAGGCCAACCGCGAAGGGTTGGCTCCGGTGCCCTCAGCAGCCTTGCAACGGTCCCCGTGCCATGAGTCATTGCTGGGCACGCGGAATTCCACTCACCGTGGTCCAGCTGCATCTGTGGAGCTGCCCTTCTCTTGTCAAGCTGCTTGTGCAAGCGATGACCCGAGTGATCTTCTTCTTTGCTTGGACGAAACCTGTGGCGGTGTGGGCGCCAGTGCTGTTCTCGAGCGTATCCAAAATATGCTTGTAACAAACCCAACTCCGTGGTTGGACGCCTTTGGGCACCTGCTAATGCGGCTGGAGAGAATTATTCCTCAGTCGTGTGAACCCAACCATGCCGTGCGGCGTCGAGGGCTACTTGTTCTACATGCAGTCGTTGGACAGAGGCTCCTTCGGCGACCTGTTAGCCGGTGTTTAAAACGCGTCTTCCTCCTCACGCGTGTGGGAATGGATGACGTCTTCCCCGAGGTGCGTGTCGAGGCCACAGCTGTGTTGCAAATGCTCCTTAGTAGCGGCCTCTACCCCACTGACCACATTTTAAATGCGATTGCCATGAGTTTAGATACCTGGTTGGCTGAGGACAGTGGGCACAGCAGCAGCGGTTGGCTGACGTTACTAGAATCCGTAGAACATCTGTTTGCTCGACTTGGAAGAGACATCGTCTTTGTTCAGGACCCTACAAACGGATATGTGGCACCGCAGGATTCTGCTGCTTTGGCGGTTGTCACTGAACCTGTGTTTCGCCGTCTGTGTGGTGTGGTGATTCGGGCGTTGCATCACGCTGCGTCCGAGGTTCGACTTACCGCAGTCCTCGTGTTTGTCGCTGTATGGACGAGCCTTGACACTGCCGCCCTCCCCTACATGGTGGGCCTAACAGCCAGTCAGCGTAAACTTGTTTCGCTCTACTACAATAAGTTGGCGGCTGAGCGTGTGTCAGGGCTGCACGGCACTATGCAGCAGCGCGACTTGGCGCGTGAGATGCGTGTCATGGGGCTACCGGAGGCGGACTGCCTTTAGATGCGAGCTGCGGCGGGTCCGTCCTCCCCGGGTGCTGTCGGTGCTGCGTGTGTACACTAGAAACAGTGTCCTCTTCTCTCCTCTTCCCCAGCATCTCTATTTTCCGCGCAATTGCGGGTGTTGTTGCTGGGGAGGGGGGAGTTTTTTCTTTTTTTTTTTATTATTTTTATTTATTTTTTTAGGGGGTTTGCCGTGCAGCTGCCGCGGTCTCTCATCCTTTTCCCCTCCCCTCGTTGCCTTTGCCCCCATCTCCCCAAATTGCGGCGCGACAACACAGACTACATTCAGGCACAACGCAGGAGACACAGAGTAAACATACATAACACGTACACACATATATATATACATATTTTTTGCCAGAAAAATAAACGCGCATAAACGACGAAGAGAAACATTTAAAAAAAAACGCACAACAACAACAACAACAACCATAAGGGGACCTATATATATATATTTACATATATACATATCTGCGTAGAGTAATAACACAAGAACAGCAGCCTCTTCTTTTGTTTAAACTCAACGAATGTCCTACATTGTTTTTGCGGTGGATAGCGCCGATCGACTGACGCTTCTCGGCCCCCCCACCCCTGAGGGTCCTAACCTAAAACAAATAGCGCTGAGCTTTATTCAAGCCCCGAAACTTGCGCGTCGTACATCTACAGGTGAGTTTGGACCTGAGGAACCTTTTGCGTTTGAGGCGGCGGAGTTAATCCGCAACACCTTTATTGGAAAACCTGTAAAGTTTACCGAGGATTATGTCATTGATGCGCTCCAACGACACGCTGGACGCCTGAAGCTTACCAGCGGTGAGGATGCCTCTCTTCTACTACTGCGGCACGGGTTCGCCACCGCGCCGGAACGCATCCCGGCGCGTATGGAAAAGGCATTGTTTGCGGAGTACTCTGCACTTATGGGCCAGGCAAGAGTGGCAAAGAAGGGTCTTTTTGCGCCGGATGCGGCGTCGCACGCGCGGACTCTTCGCGATCTCACTGTGGATGAGACTACCAAGTTGGGGGAGAAATTGAAGGGAAAGGCCATCCTCGTGCGTGTCGAACAGGTTTTGTTGCCGACCATCTGCATGGTGTCGGGGGAAAGTTTTCCGACCACGCACATAGCAGTGCACATGCCTGGTGTGACGGTAAAAGACCCAGACTGCTTTGGCGTCTCTTCTGCGGCGCGTTTTCATACCGAACGCTACTTGCTACACCGCAGGGTGAAAATTGCCTTTGAAGGCGTTGATAATTTTGGTAATATTCTCGGTTCTGTTACTTCCTCCAAGGGCGTCTTCCAGACTGAACTGCTCTCGCGCGGGTTTGTCAAACTCAGTGGTGCCACTTTGGAGTTTACAAGCCAAGCCGACGCGTTGCGCGCCGCCGAAGCGGAGGCGCGGAAGAAGCGGCAGGGATTATGGGAAAAATGGGAGGAGCCGACGGAGAAAAATACCCTCCAGGTCAATTATGGGTCCGCCGCGGCCGCCGCCCCCGGTATGCCTGTGAATAACGCTAACAGCGGTGCGGGGCCAGAGTACAAGGGACCTTTGTCCTTTAGTGCGGTGGTGGTGCAAATCGTCAACGGTGACACCATCACCGTGCGCTCGGACGAGTCAAAGGAATTTGTTCGCCTCTCTCTCGCCGGTGTACGCTCGAGTAAGAATGTCACTCGCGAACAGGACGGTCGTTCCCCCGAGACGCGCGTGACATACACGGACTACGAGTGGGAGGCGAGGGAGTTTTTGCGCACACACTACATTGGCAAGCGTGTGGTTGTCCAGGTGGAGTACGCGCGGCAGATTCCAGAGACGAAGGAAGTTCGACCGGTAGCCCTTGTTTCTATCCCAGACACGGGCGCGAACATGGGTGTCTCTTTACTGGAGACGGGCTACGCAACCTTTCAGCTGGGCAAGAATGATATATGCTCCGCGGCCTCTTTGTTACAGGGTGCGGCAGAAAAGGCCCGTGAAAAGGGTATTGGGGTATACGGCAAAGGAAAACCTCCGGTGCACAAGGTTGTTGAATTGAGTCACCTGGGGAGTGCTCGTGGGAAGTACTACCTTAGTTTCCTGCAACGTGGCATGCAAGGTAGCCGTCCGCCGCTATTGAAGGGAGTTGTGGACGTGGTGATTGGCGGGAGTTCCCTTCGCGTGTACGTCCCGAAGGAGAATTTTCAGATTCCGGTAAAAGTCGCAGGCATCATCACTCCTATGGGCGCTGCAAATAGTTCAGAGACTGCCGATCCCTTTGCAGAGGAATCAAAGAGCTTCGCCGTGGGTATGCTGCAGCAGTTTAACGTGGAGATTCAGGTGCATACGGCGGACAAGGTTGGCAATTTTATCTCCTCTGTTTTTCTTGCCGACGGCACCAATTTTTCGGTTGCCACCGTAGAGGCAGGACTGGGGACGGTGGCGAATGCGGATCGTCTTCCCTATTACCAGCAGCTTATTGATGCAGAGCGGAAGGCGCAGAGTGAACAAAAGAAGATTTGGTCCGACCAATCTTCGCTTCCGCAGCGTGCGGTGAAGCTTGTGGCCGAGCGGAACGCCAGCGGTGTCGAGTTGTTTACCCGTTCCTTTGGTCCAAGGGCGGTGTTTTTCCCTTGCGTGCTGTCAGAGGTGGGCGAGGACGGGTACTCTGTCTACCTGCAGGAGCAATCTGAAGAGGTGGAGCAGGGCCTAGAGGCACTGCAGGACCTTGCGAAACAGGTCTCATCGCTGAATGGAGAATATCAACCCAAGCGTGGCGAACTTGTGGTTGCGCGGTACAATAAGGATAAGACGTGGCATCGTGCCAAGGTGCAGCACGCTAAGAAAGGCGACCCAATCGCCACGGTCCTTTTTGTTGACTTTGGCACAGTGTCAGAGGTGCGGGTGAGGGACGTGCGAGCCATTCCGCGTGGTCCGGAGTTTGCGCTCCTGCGTGACCAGGAGCCGCTGGCCCGCCTTGTGCGCCTCGCGTTCCTCAAGTCGAAAGTGCCGGCCGCAGAAACGAACGCCGGTTATGCGTGCGACGTCATATATGACTACACCGATGGCGCTGTTATCGCAAAGGAAGTGTATGAGGACGGGCGGGGCAACGTGTACTGCACCGTCACTGTGAACGAGAATGTTTCTTCGCTGAGTGAGACCCTGCTGCAGCGGGGTGTCGCGTTACTCGACCGTGCCGCGGCGACGGTTGACCCAACGGAGTATCAGCGGCACGAGGCGGCGCAGGCCATCGCGCGGCGCGGTCACAAAGGAATGTGGCAGTACGGCGACATTGACGACGAAAGCGACGACGCTTAGGAGGGGCGTGCGCGGCGAGGAGCAAGCAAAAAAAAAATAATAATAATAATAAAATAAAATAAAATAAAAAAAGCGACGGGAAGCAGTAGACTGGTGGGGGTAATTTTTGATGCTTAGGATGTGTTTGCTGCTCCACACAAATGGGGAAAAGCAACGGCAACAAAACGAATATGGCGGCGGACGGGGGGAGGGAAGGCGGGTCGAAGCGAAGACTAAATAAGGTATTGGTGTTTCTCAGGGTGTGCTGCTTGCGGGGGATGAATGCCCCTGCCAACTGAGTTCGAACGATACACTTCGTGAAGGTGAAAGTGTTCATTTGTTCTGACATGTTTCACATGCGTGTGTGTTTTTTTTCCTCCCCATTTTCTTCACTCACACCCATATCCCCTCCTCCTACATTTTTTTTTGTTCGCTTGACAAAGGAGATAAAAAAAAGAATACAAGATAACTTGCCTTCGCTTATGTGAAGCTGCGGGCACGTGTATAAGTGCGGCGGAGTTGATGTTCCTCTACTATCGACACCGCCGCCTCTATTGCTGTTTGTTTGTCTTTATCTCTTTCTTTCCTTCTGCCTGCCGCGAGGGTTTCTTTGAAGTTGTTTCGCGCGCGAACTTTCAGATCATGTACAACCGGGCGGTTGACGCCTATTTAACTATTATTACTACTGCTTTTATTATTAATTATTAATTATTTGTTATTCTTCTTCTTTTCTCCCTCCCCCTCCCCTTCAGAAGGCAATGTCGGCAGTGCCTCACCTACAAAAGCAGCTGCGGGAGCTGACGACGAGTCCCCCTGCCGGTTTCCGCGTCGAATCGGAGGACCTCTTCACCTGGACGGTGTGGTTCTCTGGTCCCGAAGGCACCCCGTATGCGCCGGGAATATACAAGGCGGAGCTCCGTTTTCCAAAGGAGTTCCCGATGGAGCCACCGGTGTTCAAGGTTCTTTCCTCCTTTTGGCACCCCAATGTTTACACCGACGGCAAGGTGTGCATCTCCATTCTTCACCCGCCTGGCGAGGACGAGATGAATACGGAGGAGACGGCCATGATGCGCTGGACGCCGATACAAACGATCCGCTCGGTTTTATTGTCGGTTGTTTCACTGCTCAGTGACCCTGACCCAAAGGATGCGGGCGCACCCGCAAATGTTGGGGCGTTGGTTCAGTACCGCAAAGACCGTGCGGCGTTTAACTCCCTCTGCCAGGAGCTAGCCCAGAAGTCGCTGTCAGAGCTTCCACCGAATTTTGTTCCGCCTCAGCACGAAGATCGTGCGGAGTGTCCTGTGAACTACATCGCCGCCGTGGAAATGGACTACGAGGATGAGTCTGATACAGAGGCGCGTACTGTCTCGAACTGCTTTGGCGACGAACTGCGCCAGCTTCGGGAGATGGGCGTTGCGCCAGAGAAGTCAGACAGTGAACTGCTCGGGCTGCTTGCGGAAGTGAAGGGCGACGTGGCTACACTGATGGAACGGTTAATGTGAGGGGTCTGCTTTGGTAAAAAACAAACGGGGGACGAAGGAGATTGCTGAAAACGTTGGACGAAAAGGGTGGGGCTAGGCACCACAGGAAACAGATTGCCGACACAGACGACTTTTTGCACCATCCCAAGCACCACAGCGGAGTCTTCGCTGTTGGCTCTTCCCTTTATTTCTTTGAGCGATGCTGGGCTTGTTAGTCCCTCTTCAAGATGTTACGTATTGATTCCGTCATTTAGCATTCACTTCCGGTGAGATTCTCTGCGTGCGTGTGTCTCTGTGTGTCTCCCTGCGCGCCAGCCAACAAACCAGTGCCGCCTTCAGGCTTTTTCAGTTGGAGAGCGGGAAGGAGGAGGGGCTGGGTGAGCAGCCTGGGTCGAGTCTTAAAATGAAGTATTGAGGGTCTGATGTGCACGGAAGCAAAATCAAGAGGGAAAGAGAGAGAGAGAGAGAGAGAGAGAGAAAGATGTCGATTGCCATCGAGGAGCAGGCACACACATGGAAAGAAGCAAAGTGGGCGACGGGAAAGAAAAAATGTGCTAGCTCCCGTTTCTTTTTCTTTGTTGTTTTTGTTTCACCTCTTTTTTGCTTGTGTTTCTTTATTATTATTATTAAATACGTGTGCGCTTCTGTGTTGTTGCGGGCCCGTGGCCGGAGTGGCCTGAGTCACGTGCCTCCGCCCCCTCGCCGCCGTGTAGGGGCTGGCAATGCGGGTGTTTTCTTTTCTCTTTGCCTCCCTTCCACCGTGTGATCAAACGCGGCAGAGGAAAGGGGAGTATATATTAAAAAAAAGAAGGGTGTTTTTAACGCTTACCGTAAACTCCTCAGGATGTCGAGCAAGGTAAAACAGGAGCCGCAGGGCGGCGGCGTGCTGCTGCCCAGCGTCACTGTTGGTCTGCCGTTGTGGGATGAGGCGCAGATACAGCATGAACATTGGGGTGGCAGTCTCGGACTACCGTCGCCACCCATCGGCACCGTAGTAGAGTTTCGCAATACAGAGGGAAAGATCGTGGTGCCACGGGATGACGCTCAGATTGAAGCATTCAAAGAAACCATCGCATACGTTTCTCCGGCTGCAACAACTGAAATCTTTATAGACTGGAAGCGTCCTGCCGATATCTTTGCCCCGTTTCGTCCCATGGTACATCGCAATGCGACGCCGTTTCTTTCTCCATATGACGCGGAGCGGGCTGTCTTTGACAGCAACGCTGCAGAAGAGGCTGCAATATCGTCTGCTGTGCCTACCGGCAAAAAGGGTGATGCCAAGTCCGCAGTTCCACCTGTTCCTGTGCATGTGCAGTTCCCCGAGATTCTGCAGGTGCTGGATCCGCAGGCCATTGAGGCCGCAACGAAGGAATGGGAAGGTGTTCCAGATGAGAGGGTTATTGAGCGGTATCGAGAGATTCAGCCTCTTATGCAGGCATATGACCCTGATCTGGAGCTGGGTTGCGCGGCAACGCCTGCAGAGGCGTGTGAATCGCGCTACACCACCGCGCAGCGTCATAGACTCAATGAGGTGGATGCAATATCAAAACTCTTAGAGCCTCCTCCGTTCATGATGGACGCCTTTAATAGTGCCATCACCTTCATGGAGCATGCACAGTCCTATGTTAAGCATGGCGAGTACCTTTGGGAATTGGTGTACCCACACGCCCCTGGCACATGCCACCCAGTCTATAACCCGCACGGAAAGTACGTTGTTCGACTCTTTATTGACGGTGCCTTTCGCCGGGTTACAATCGACGACTACTTGCCAGTCGATGCCTTGGGTCGGCCTTTTTTAACCTTAACGACACAAAAAGAAATTTGGCCAGCTCTGTTGGCAAAGGCCATCTTTCAGGCGTTGGGTTTAAACCGTCATCTTCTATTTACAGATCCAGAGGCCATCATTACGTGTTTGTGGGGCGAGTGGGTGCCGCAGCGCGTTGACCCCCGCGTCCAGCCTGCCTCGGCCTGTGCCTTTTTGCTGGCCTATCGGAAGGATCTTGCGAAGAGCGAGAGTAACACGACGCACTTTTCAGTCTCAAACACAGAGGAGGCGGCGACGGCCATCGCACCAGAGGAAGTTGTGCCAGTAAAGCAACAAAAGGCTGGCGTCGCTGACGACGTCGTTTCGAAAAAAGAAATGTCCATTACGGCACCTCTGCGGACCGCACTCGCCGATGCTCCCGCGGAAGGAACTACATGCGAGGCTGCAACGGCGGCGGCGGCGGCGCCGCCGCTTTGTGCGATAGGCTCCATGGACGATGGAAAACTCAAGCTTTTTGTCATACATGAAATTCTCTTGTTTCGTGATACTTTGGCAATTCACATCTCATCCAATTCTCCAACGAATATGCTGGAGTCGACAATACTATCGGAGCTGAGTAAGGATGAGGCTGTGCAGAATTTACTGCATTCATTGTCGTATCAAGAGGGAAAGCAGAAAGTGTCCGCGGCTGTCTTGGCAAACCAGTCCACCATGTGGATTACCTTTGAAGAGTTGTCTGCCCAAGTAGACCTTGTGGTGTGGCGGTATTTGGGAGAGAAAAGCTGTTTCCGCTTCAGTAACCGCCTTCTTGGGACTGAGGAAGGGCCGCCACTGCCAGTAAACGCAAAGAAAAAGTCTGTAGCTTCCACGGCAGTTACCACCTCCGTTGGGGGGGGAAAGAAAAATATTGTTCGTTGGATTCACGTGAATTCAGATCAGCAGGAACAGCTGGCATTTGTTAGCTTGTCGGCCTTCGCCCTCTCTGTGACTCCATTGAAAGCGACCCGTAGTTTTCAGTATTCCACTGCTTCAGGGAGCCGGCCGATTTCTGCTAACTCGTTGGCTCGTTCCGTCGACAGCAGAGCGCCACGAGAGGCGGCGCAGGAGGTGCTGCTCGATCTCTACACCTGGGAACGTGGTGACACATTGAGCCGGGTAGGAAGCTTTGCCTACGAGAGCGGCAAATTGCAGTGCGTCGTGCACCCCCTTCCGCCTGGTTCACACATTTTTCGCCTGACTGTCGTGGAACTTAAGCCTCAGCATGTTCTTAGTCTTCTCTCCACGCGGGAGCTGGTGGTGGGCGAGGAGAAGGATGCCCTGCGTTCCGCCAACATCTGCAAAATGACGGACGCAGGGAGTCATATGGGGGTGGAGCGAGCGAACGAGGAGGTGATGTGGTTCAAGCGCTTGATCACCGTGAAGGAGTCGAGCACCGTCTCCTTCGTTGTCTCGACCCTTGGCCCCAGCGAGGACCCCGCAGCCCATCGCGATATCCCTGCCAGTTTGCTGAAGGAGGTGAAGGGGGCCAAAACGCGCGCCGTAAACACAAAAGTGCCACAAAAGGATTTCGCAGACGGGATTCCATTATGTGTCGTGGATGTTCCGATTATTCCATACTGTCGTATTTTGTTGATGGACCTTGACGATGGTGCGGTTCGCCGTGGCGCGGTCGGGCGTCTTGTGCGGCAACGAATGACGCCTAATCAGCAGGGATACTTGCTTATGGCGTACGTGTTGATTGACTCGGCGTCTGCGTTTTTGTTCACGGAGGGTGCCATGGGGGCGGTGCCGGAAAATCCCGCAAAACCGCGCGAAAGCTTGACTTCCCCCACTTCTGATGAGAAGGGCAATGCCAATGCGCGTGAAAAGCCATCGCTGCTCTACGGCAAGGGGAATTGGAAACTCACGATGACCTCGGATCGAGGATTTGAATCTTACAAACCCGTCATGCACAATGTGTTTTCGTTTACAGACAGGGGTCAGTTGAAGCGAGGCAGCAACGCCTTGCTTTTTGCCTACACCTGTTCCGTGGCGGAACGAACATCCCTTACCTTGGTACTTGACCTTGACGCGCAAGAACTGATTCCATTCCAAGTCAAGGTGACGCGCAACGGCGTGGAGGCACCTCCAGTTTTTGTTTCGGAGAGCTGCACCAAGCATCTCTTTCTCCCACACATTACACTTGCGATGGGTGAAAAGGGAAAAACCACTGGCTACATTCTGGAGGCCTGGTTGGATGAAGCCATGGTGCAGGAATGGGAAGAGAGGCGTCGTATGGCGCAGGAAACGAAATTTCACCTCCTGCGGGCGGATGCCGAGCAAAAGGCCATGGAAAGGCGTGAGCGTGAGCTTGATGCATACCAAGCTGATCCACGTGCTTTTCAGGAGCGTTTAGAGCATCCGAATGTGGCGCAGACAGAGCCTGCGAATTCATCACCTCTGCGGGAGGCGTCTCTGGCGTCCGTCAGGAAGGGGCGCGTGTACGCTGACAGACGAAAACACCCAGTGGGTGCGGCGACACCAGAGAAGTTGGGATCTTCTACTGCAGGCTCCGTGACGACACCCAATCCGTCTATGTTTTTTATAGACAACACAGAAGGGGAGCTGATTGTGAGCTTCTTTTTGCGATTACAATTCTCTTCAAAGGTAGATGTCAAGAACGGGGCACCGCAGAAGGACCCGTTGTCAACTCTGCGTGCGGCTTGGGTGCCGCCAATTGAACAAGCTGCGGCGGATCAAGGCGCCGGGGCCACGCAGCGCGGCGGTGGACTGAAGGGGAAGCAACGAGAGGCGGTGTTGTCGGCGGAGGATTTGCTGAAGGCCGATCAAGGCCGCATGAGCCGACAGCGTTTCCTAGAGAATCCGCGGAACATTCTCTTTCCCTACTTGACGTCTGAGGAGGGCCTGGGGTCAAGCAAAGAGGCCTCACGCATGTCTTCACAGAAGGAACAAGTTGCATTCGCTGTAAGCACGCCTCGCGTGGTATTGGATGTCATGCAAGAGGCGAACTACCCCCACGCTCCCATTTTAAGCGAGTCGGAGTACCGTATCCAGCTCACTCCTCTTCGCGCTGTTGAAGTCGCATTGCCTGTCAACGTGACACCCCCAGGGAGTGCTTCTGGGGCTGCACAGCAACGGGCGAGGTCACCAGGTGAACGGTTTTCGCCTCGCCTGGCAACTGCGCCTATGCCAGCCTTTCTGCCTAACCAAGCCGCAGAGGAAGATGCAGATATTGCCGAATTAAAGGCGCCTCTCCAGGAGCTTTCCCGGCGACAGACGGAAGAGCTTAAACGAGGGCATGAAAGGAGAATGGAGTGCCGCGTGGCTGCCAAGGAGGTCTTGCGTGAATTCTGGGCGGCGCATCAGCCTGGTGCTGCTCCCATTTCTCTCTTGGGTTACAAGGAGGAGGAAGTTCCTAAGCGGCAGAAGAGTCGCCAAAAAGGCTGAAATGGATGAAGGACCCCATGCATGTGTGTTTCTACGCGTCAATCGGAATTTGCGTAAGCCGGAGTGAGGAGACACATGCTATGACATGTAAATAGCGACGAATGCGCGGCGCACTAGGCCTTTTTGTTTTGTATGTTGATGTCTTCCCACTATTGCAACAGAGGCTCACATCTGTACCTGTTGCCTTGCCATCCATATCTATGTATATGGGTTGTGTTGCGTATGTAATGTTTTCCGCAACGACGCTTTCTGTGTTCTTTTCTCTGCGTCTCGTTTCCGTCCTCGCTGGTTGTTGAGTGACGTCGCCGTCAGCGTTCCTACCTTCCTCTTTTTTTTCTTTTTTCTTTTCTGCTTGTGTGTCTCTCTGCTTTCTAACTTCTTGTGTAGTAGTAGTTGATACTGAAGCGAGCCCGGTTGCACAGCTGTTTCTGAGGCATAACCGCATTAAGCACAACTCACATCATCGTCTGTCTAACGCAGGGGAGGGTATAGGGAGAGAAGGTCATACACGAGGAAAGGAAAGTAAAGGCTAAGGTAAGGTAAGCAGGAAAGAGCTGAAGACAAAAAAAAAAAAAAGAAAGAGAGCAGGGCGAAAGGAGGAAGCCCAATTTGCAGCTTATAGGATCGGCACACACACACTAAAAAAAGGTTTTTTTTTTGTCGTTTTCATTGGAGAGAGTCATTTTTTGTTTTTATTTATTTTACTTTTTTTTTCTTTTTCTTCTTCTTATTTGAGTAGTTCCTCTTGTTAGTTTGTTTGTTTGTGTTTTCCTCTTTTCTTCGCATCACTTTCCCTGGCTTTCGCAAGTGGGGAACGGGACGCATTGGTTTGGTTTTGTTTGCTTTCTTCTTACTTGAGCGCGTTGCGACTCCGGCGCCCGCACCTCGCGAGGCAGCATGAGCGACTCCGTCGAAGACGTCAGTCTGGGCAGGCTCTCGGTCAGCGGCCGAAGCAACCTCTACCTGGACCTGGACTCGCTCAACCACGACCCCGCCTTGCTCTTCTCCACGGAATTCGCGGGCGACGCCGACGCCGCCGGCGACGGCGCATTCATCGAGCGGGCGTTTGCGTCGCTTTCGGAGAGGCCCGGCAGGTTGGACCCGGACGCCCTCACATTGATCGAGGATGTGCTGCAGACGAACATATTGGACGAGGCGGCGGGGATTGACTTTCAGCACTGCTGCCAACAAATCCTGCCGGAGCAGCCGCAGGAGAAGGAAAACGAGGGGCAAGGCGGGCGCGACCTGCAGCAACCGTACTCCTCCGGCCGGACCGACTCGCTGGGAAGCGTCAGCCCTTTGTATGAGACGACGCCGCGGTCAACTGACCAAATAGATACCCAGCTCAAACAAGCGATGCCTTCGTCGACATTTTCTAACAACAGTGAGGCGGCGAAGAAGTCTTCAACAACTGACTCACTAGGCCCTGAAGCTAATGTGTACACGTCCATTACAGCAACACCACTGCAGGGGAGAGCACTGGACTTTCGGAGCTTTTTATCAAAAAAACAGGTCCCCCCTGCGATACTGAAGGAAGGTTCTGTTGGTGTCTTTGTGGGCCAGTTGCCTTCAACGTACTCCGAGGAAGATTCTGCCGCCCTCCTTCGTGCCATTGGCGCCGATGCTGGGGTGCCAGTTCACGTACGAGACGTGAAAAGCCACAATCAGAGCCGCACCTGTGCATTTGTCGTCGTTAACCGCAGCGCACTACCGGTGCTGCTTGGTTACTCCAAACGTGTGTTGTGTGATGTGTCTTGCGTATGGGTTGTAGGACGGGAACAGGCTGTTCACCTGAAATACTACATCAATGGCTTTTTGCGGGATCGCCTTCGTGGCGTCCCCAAGGCCGCTCTTGTGCTGGAGGAACTGACTCCACAGTACATGCGAAGCCGCACCTCAGCTGGCAAAGGAGGCAAATCATCCAATCGACAAAAAGGGAACGTGACTTCCGCTAGCGAGAACGTTTTCATGGGCACCCATGATGGCAATCCCATCGTCACTCACCCGTTTGCAATGAACTTCCTTTTGCCAGGGTGGAACTCCATGGATGCGCCGGGACTTTCCTTTTGCCCTGTTTTCAACAATACCGGTGCCCCGCCACTTGTGAACACTAACTCCGCCTCAAACGTTCCAGGTGTGATACAGACCAATGGATTCTCGGCAGCACCGTCACCGTCGTTGGTCGCCCCCGCTCCACAAGTCAATTACTACGTTATTGGTGGTCCCCCAAACGGACTTCAAGGCATTGCTCCTGGTCAGGTGAATGGTCAAGTTCTTTCTCCACCGCCTACAGCCAATGGAGGCGGTAAGGGTGGAAGCAACGGAGTTGCGAATGGAGCTAGCAGTTCAGAAAACTTACTCCCATCATTTTTGCCGGGTATCCGCGCTGCGCACGATCATGCTCCGTCATCCCAAAAACTGCCCGAGGGAGTGTCCCGCTGTTCTGTTTGCTCTGCAACTTTTGGGCCGGCGGAGCCCCAGTATTTCTTTCCCCAAGACAACACAGTGAGGTGCACGCGTTGCAGTAGTCAGCGAGTCGCGAGCGGTGATGCATCACAAGCCACAAGGGGAATGGCAACATTTATTATGCCTCAGTCCAACTTGGGTGGTTTTCCGCAGCCTTCGACTGGAAACACAACGATGCTCCTCCATGCACTTCCGCCGTATATGCCACTGCCGCATCCGCAAAATCAATTCTTGCCTCAGCTGTCGCAACTACCACTGCCACAGCAGCAACAGCAACACGGCTACACTGTGGGCAGTGGCTGGTAATATGTGTAAAGACGGGTAATCACCGAAGACCCGTTTGCTTTTTTTTTCTCTCTTTTATTTGGTGGTTTTGCTTCTTTTTTCCCTTTGATTACTGCTTCCCCTTCCCTCACCTCCGTGTCATTCTTAGTCATACACGGCGAAGCTGAACTGAAAGTCTGCTGGCGTCAGCAACGAGGAAGAGGAGAGCGGCGGCTGAGGCCTCGACCGGACTCAACCTTGTGGCACCGAAGGAAAAGTATAGAAGGGGAGGCATCGAGCGCGGATAGCGCAAGGAGAAATGCGTCAAAAGCACCAAAGGTTTTGAACGTCTTTTG